CTACAATACTACAGCGAGAATAAAAGTTATGCTTTCTTTCTTTGCGTGAACATTTGGGCGGTGTTATGCAAATCTTCCCAGATCGTGACGTAGGTATGTGGGGGCGTGTTAGAACGAGCCGTTTTAGGTAGGCGTGGCTGACTCTTAACTTTTATAAAGAATATCTCTTTGGATTTGAGACTTTAGTTTTTGCAACTTTACAGATCTTCTTTATGCACCAAGAGCTTGTAACACTTCAAAGAGAAAGGAAAAACTGAAATCGCATCATATGACTCCTTTAAAGAGTGCAAAAATGCCAAAAACAGTGATTAAAAATGTAAAAAAAATAAAAAATAAAAAAATGTATCAAAAATTCATTCATTTTTAGGATTTTAACAAAATAACCATGCTTTACACATACATTTCTCAGTACAAATACAGACACTGATGTCCATACCAATACCAAAACAATGATAATTACATAATTTCAATTAAATTGTCCTTTTTTTCAGCAAAGGTAGAAAACTAGAGAATGGTGCGATTAAAGTCCTGAGTGTTCTTTTGTATGTAATGTAAATACGATTTATGAAAGTAAATGAGTGAAATATTAAAATTCCAACAAAAATGCCCCCCCCCCCCAAAAAAAAACCATGGCCTTTATGACTCCTTTAAAGAGTGCAAAAATGCCAAAAACAGTGATTAAAAATGTAAAAAAAATAAAAAATAAAAAAATGTATCAAAAATTCATTCATTTTTAGGATTTTAACAAAATAACCATGCTTTACACATACATTTCTCAGTACAAATACAGACACTGATGTCCATACCAATACCAAAACAATGATAATTACATAATTTCAATTAAATTGTCCTTTTTTTCAGCAAAGGTAGAAAACTAGAGAATGGTGCGATTAAAGTCCTGAGTGTTCTTTTGTATGTAATGTAAATACGATTTATGAAAGTAAATGAGTGAAATATTAAAATTCCAACAAAAATGCCCCCCCCCCCCAAAAAAAAACCATGCTCTTTGCATTAACAATCAAAATGATCAAATAAAAAATACATAAAAAAGTCAATGAACATAACTTGACCACATATTTTCTTTACAAAAGATGGAAAGTCTATACTAGTACTGGAACTAGTAATATGATAATCTTGCTGAGTTTTCACGTTCATAAAGCATGATAAATCACAAAAGACTTCCACAGTTGTCCAACTGTATTTAATCCACAGTACATACAGTTATACATATGAGAGCACTGAACCACCGACCTGGTAAGAAAACTGTAAAGGAGGGAGTCAGTCCAGATCAGTATGTCAACAGGAGTGTAAAATGAACCTGCAGTAGTCTCCATTCATCATCGAAAAGTTGTTGGGAAAGGGATTCTTTGAAATGATTTGTACAGCAATCTGAAAGTTTTGGCAACAAACAAGATGGGCAGAAATCATACAACCTTTGAGATATTTCACCATATTTTTTTAATTCACTGAGCTTGTGTTGTGAAACACCTGTGCACACTAATCATGACAGCATTTACATGTCAAAAATACTGTAGATGTCAACATTTTACCAGTATTTATATGCATTTAACACCTGTCTTTTAATATATGCAATTACTCAGATGTCAGTTTTTTTTTTAAATATGACTGGATTTGGGATTAACGCTAAGGTCATTTAAATATTTGGTAGTAACAAGTTATATGATGATCTATATAGACAACAGCATATTCGGAATAACTATAAATTGGAGGTTTGTAGTGTGGCCCATTATTGAAGAGTACAGGAAAGTATACGAAAGTTCTTCTGTGACATGCAAAGTACAAAAGTGGCTATAATCTGGTTTATCTGAAGATATAATACTCGCACACCGGCCTACAAGCGAGGCCGCAGATGTTTAAACGGATGTTTGCCATGTAAAAACTGTGGCACAAATGTCGATTCCCTGCGATGCAATTTGGAAATAAACCTCAATGGAGCGCATCAACTTGCCCAACATTGGTGGAAAGTAGCTTGAAAACAGGTTATAGAAGTAGGTCAGTTCAGACGGCAAGAGTGTGGAATAACGTAACGGAAATTAGCAATTTCCAGACTAAGAATTTGTTCAGTGGTTAACATCCAAATCATAAAGCAACATCCAAAATGATCTAGATATCAGCGGTACAAGTTCACAAACCTTTCAGCATATTCAATTGACAACCCTGATGTCTAGTACCAAACTAGACGCATTAAAACTTTACCTGTGAAGACTAGTAATACCAGTCCAAATGCCATTTCGGAGTTGTACAGCACCAATTTAAACTTGGTTGTTTGGAGCGAATTTATCACAGAACCACTTTCACAATTCCGATTCACATTACGTGGAAATTTCAACACGATAAACCGGATTCCAGAGTAGGTCTCCAGAAGGTCTGCAGAATAAGAGCGTTTTTGTACACGTGTAGGTGCGTGTGCTCCTTGCCTCGCTTGTTTGCTGAACTGATTGTCCGTGCGGTGGCGGCGGTGGTGGCGTCGTCTAGAGTTTTGCTACGGAAACACTGTCAACGATTATGCACAAGGAGACACGTAATTGGTCCGTTAAAAGAAGCATTTCAGAACTGTTGGACAAAAGAATAAAGCAACACATGGAAACCTGAAATATCCATCATCTTATGAAGCTACAGAAATAAATAAATTCTGACCGTAACATATCCTATATAGTGAAATTTACATCTTTACAGTATCTACACTGTTTGAAGTCCCATTCAGAACATCCGCTCCGGAAGAAGGCTGCGCTCGAAGCCTCCCGGTTCGATTCGAAGAACAAGTCCGCACATGCAGCATGGCTATTCCAGTGTGTTCATGATACAGAAACAAACTGCATACAGTTTCACGACTCTGTCATGCTGTGCGATTTAAAATGGCGAAAATTAACAGCACAATTTCTATATACCTCGAATCACTTACATATGAACATATGGACAATATCATAGAGAACTGAACTTTAAAGGACTGAAGTTGATCTAAAATGATCTAAAATCTTAAAAACATTATACATGTGCCGTCGAAACGCTTGGGGAACGTTGCTACAATGCATCGGAAACATCGGACATGTTCGGGTTCATATGATCTGCCTGGTTTTGGCACATTTCTTGCGTTTTGTTTTCTATATATCGGAGAAATATATAATCGTGCATATGCACACAAAATACCCTGCCATAAATAATAAGGGTCATGTACTACACGCCAACGTTATGTAGCGACATGAGATGGTAACAAGGACCTCCACTATTTCACTAGTGCAAAAAAAACAACGAGGTTATGCAGTTGCAGAACTACAGCTTTCTAAATGAATCGTTTTGGCCGTCGGCGGAATCGAGCGAGTCGAACCGCTCCCTCGGAAATGAGTGCAAAGGATTTCGAGAGGAAATGATCAAGCGAAATCTTGGAAAAATTGTCCGTCATGCAAATACAGCGAGCTGCACGGCGCGACCTCGATGGGAAATTCTCTCCATGACGACAGCAACCGCAGCAGCGGAAAAGTTTTACTTCAGCAGATGTGGCGTGTGCTTACGATCGTGTTTGGTGGCTCAGAAGTGAACAAAACAGCAAGAAGGAAAGAAACGTGACCCAGCAGCCCATGTCGAGGTGGCATCCCGGAGGTATTGCAAGCAGATGGCCTTATAAAGGGATAGCTGTTCCTTTGAGAGTTCGTTGGTGCTCTGAATACGAAGTTAAGGCCTCTGATGACCTGTAGACGGAGTTTGGTGTGATGGGATTCAATCCTTATTGCCAAATGCTGCTGGGATTCGACTTGGAGAGGCTGCCGGGATGGGCTGGCCCAACGGAAACCAATGAGAAGAGGGATGTGAAATGGCCTCTGGGTCTTATCAGCTCCTCGAGTTCATGGCTGCCCTGAGCAGGTAAGAGGAGGCACGTATTTACATGTGTGGGAATCTCGGAAGGGGAATGATGGGAAAAGTGGGAAAAGTCCATACCCACCCAACGATCCGTTTTTCAGTCCCAAAAGTACATTCAGTCAAGTCAGAGGCGAGGGCCACGACCCAGAGCGATGCTTAAGGCGCTAGATTTCTGGAAAATGTTTGGCTGCCAGACAAAAAAAAAAAAACTGAAACATGAACGAAAACAATTCCCATGCAACAATAGTAATGCCGTGAGGTTCGCTCACAGAGTCTGTTGTAATACTGTGAGACTTCGTCGTGTCCGATCCTGCAGCCCCATGTGCCTCCAGAACAAAGTGCCTCAAGAATTTGGACCTGGTGGGTGGAGCCTATTTTGGGCTCAAGGCTCCGCCCTCGAGTCTGCTGGTTCGGCCCCAGCAGCCGGCGGCGATGCTCATGCTCCTCTGGGCACGTTCTGCCCGCTCGCGGTCGCATTCTGATTGGCTCTGTGCACGTTCAGGACGTCCTATCTGCACGGGCGGCGTGGAGGACGTGGGTTGCGAGGAAATGGTGCGCAACAGGTGATTGCGCTTCCGCAGGAAATCCCCACTGCCGCCAAGCCCGAAACTGCCTTTCCGCAGGACCATGCGAGTGCTGCCGGTCTTGGCTGGCCTCGATCTCTGATTGTATTCTAGCTGGGACAGGTGAGACGCGTAGCCATCGGCGATGAACTGTGGAGAGAGAGCGACAGGTCAGTGAGAGTAAAGCATTTTCGCATTTAGCTCCCAAACTCTGGAATAGCCTTCCTGAAGGCGTTCGGGATTCAGAAACACTCTCTCTGTTTAAATCTAGATTAAAGACTCATCTCTTTAGCCAAGCATTCACATAATGCATCTCATAATCTTGTACTTCAGCTATATTTGATCAAATGCACATTATCATTCTTTTGCTTGGATTGAACACATCATTTTTGCTTCTCTGTTTCTGCCACGGGATTGGCATCCCGAGGTAACTAGGAATTACACAAGCTTCAGCCTGGATCCAGCCCCTACGAAGACCTGAGATGAATGAACACCTGAGAAGAGATGATGCAAACCCCTCAGAGGACCTGAGATGATGCCAACCCTGAACCAACATACAAAACTACCAAATTTTGCTATAAGTTTGAATGCAACCTATAATTTGCTGTTAATAGCGGTCACCATCTGTTTGATTACGTCATTAACTAACTGCATGATCACTATACATTTCTGCCATATGGACATTACCTCGACATAGTCACCACCGATAAAGTACTACTAAATATAATGTAGAAACTTTAATTTTGTATTGTGAAAAGCACTATACAAATAAACTTGAATTTAATTGAACTGAGAGTGCATAAAAACTTAAAGTAGAGAGGAAAAACTGTGCATAAAGATACCTGACACTGGTGCTGCATTTTCTTCGTTGGTCTCCCTACGATGTAGATCTGTGATGGCGGCAGACCCAGTGACGTGTACACAGAGATGTCCTTAGTGGAGCCATAAGCAGCAAAGATCTTCATATGTGCCTACAAAACAGCAGGATGATTTTTAAACATGATTAAACAGTTTAAATATAAGCAAAGACTGACACATTATATGTCTAAGATCTGTTTAAACACCCTCCCTGTCCTTTTATGCTCTTGTTTTGATCATTCCAGTTGGCATACTCTCTGTACTACAAACTAGGGCTGGGCAATATGGCCAAAAATATTAATCACAATATTTCTTTCCACATAATTCAATATTTATAGCAATAATTATTTCAAACCATTAATAAGCAAGGAAATGCATTTTACATTACTCAATGAAATCTCCATAGGGCGCCATTAAACCCACACGAAGTTTTATTTTTTCCCAAATTCTGATTTCCATTTTTCTCCAAAATTCTGTTTTATGATTTAATATAAATGTATTATCAAAAATGTTTATTTTAATCTTTAAAAATGTAATCAAAATGAAAATATAAGAATTAATTTACAAAAACACACTGCATTTTATTTTATTTTTTTTCAAATAATGTGCTGCACAACAGAACTTGTATACTGTATCAATTAAAACATTAAAATATCTTGGTTGCATTAAATTCTTTATAATAATAATAATAATAATTCACTGCAATATTTAAATTAATTGTATTATAAATAATTATTAATTGTATTTTTATTTTTATTTTTTTATCCATATTATACAAGTTTACTATGAAATATTTATACAGTCTATACAAATTTATAGAGTTTACATTATTACTTTGAGAAGTGCTTTTTACTATACAATAATGATATACTTCTATCATCATTTCGTCACAGTAAATAAAACTTTTATTTTGGCAGTTTGTCGTGAAGACTGAGTTTCAGTGTCTGGTGGTAGTTTTATCAAATGCTAGTGACGTGAATCTCTGGAAATGTAGTTCATGTCTTTATATATTGAGATGCTGAAAACAGCACGAGCGTCACGCATGCTTCAGTATGTGTAGTAGACGAAACTGCGCCGCTCATTCACAGAGACATGCAGAACGTGCAGACTTTTTAGTATCACAGCTGATCGAAAATTACTCAAACGTGTATTATCAATAATCGTGACTTTATTTATCCGTTTCAATAAATACTTATATTGATTTAAGGTCAATGCATTCCGAATGATAGTAATTTATTACCCACATCCCCTTGCAGAAGAGTTTGTGTATATTCTCACCTCTGTGATGAGAGACTTGAGGAAGTTGGCTTTGTGTCGGAGGGGGTCATGTACGAGCCCGTCACAGAAGGACACGATCCCGTGAGGGAAGTTGTGCTGTGAAAGCCAGGCCACCACACGCTGCTTCTGCATGTCTGGACGTCCCGTCACGTACACTATCAGGTACCCCAGATCCTGCCAGTGCCTAAACCAGGACCAACCACCGTCAGGAACAGCAAACATTACAAATGACTGGCCTGGGAGCATTATTAACCCTCTAAAGCCTGACATATGAAATTATAGTCAGAAAAGGTTTTTTTTTTGTTTGTTTTTTAAATGGAACAGTTTGTTGAACCTTTATTGGCTCATATAGTGTGTGATATAGTGACAATATGGAGCTCGTATTGTGGAGGAGGAAAAACACCTACATTTTGTTCAGTGGCTCAAACCGAGCAAAAATATGCAATTTGGAGCAGATGCTGATATTTATGTCTTATAAGATGAAATTCTGATAGCTTGTAGTATATATCAGTGAGATCTTTAAAACAGAATAACACGCTACTTACACAAAACGCATATAAATATCAGTTGTCACTCCATATCTCCAATAATATGACTTGGTAAAATGATATTTAAATGCTTAGTTTTAAGATCAAAGCTTTGTTTCAACACATAATGCAATGCAATACAATGATGATTGATTTAGATTGATTTAATGATTTAGATTTATACTAAAAGGCCTATTACTTGCTAAAAAAGTATGAACTATCAAACTATCAACAGCTTTCAAGATAATCGCCCTTATTTTATTACATTAAAATAATGCCAAACAGTAACATTTTATACAATAAAGATAAACATTTTGTAATCTTCTAAACGTATTTAAATAACTAAAGATGTATAAAAACAAATAACATAATATATAAAAATATTTTTAAAATGATTTTAATAAAAGCAAGAAAAAAACATTAGAAATTATACTGTATTTGCCTAATTTCATTAAAAGGAATGGCTTTTCTAGGATAATTGCCCTTATTTTATTATATTAAAATGTTACCAAAAATAGTATAAAAGTTAAAAGTTCGTTTACTTTATAAAAATCAAGCTTTCACAGCAAAAAGACACATGAATCACAACCAGATGTTTTTACAGTCATGCTAAAAGCCTTGCTAAAGGGTCTAAACTATCAATCAGACGACAGAAGGCATAAGATTGTGCACAACAGTTTTCAGTAAAGTTTCGACCATGTCGATCATTTAGAGAAATTTGCAGATCAAATATGGTGCATTAGGCTTTATAGAGTTTATAAATTCGTAAAGAAAAGCCCTCACCTGACCACATCAACCGCTCCTGCTCGCACTTTAGGGTCGCTGCCCATGATGGACACGCTGGCGGCAAACGAGCCGTCGATGCTGAACACGACAAACTCAGTGCCGCGCGGCAGCACCGTCAGGTAACTGTCAGCAGATGTGTGGTCTCCCCTTCAGACACAGACAATATCATTCAATTGATGAAAATACAAGCTTTTCTGCGCAGGATAAATGTAGATTTAAGATGTACCTGACCACCATTTTGACCGGATACACGCCGATGCTCAGCCGCCTGTTCTCGGGAATGGTGTAGAAAACCCGGCCACTGCTATTGGTCAGTTCTGTGCTGAAATACACCCACTCACCGGACGGAGGCTGGGTCATGATGTGGATGTCCACCTAGAAAACGGCACAAAAATTAGATGAAATGAATTAGCAGTGAAACCAAACAAGATGTCAATGGAAAATAATACTAGACTTTTACGGTCTTTTACATTAACTGTTCCCTCCTGGTGGAATGACCTGCCCAACTCAATCAGAGCAGCTGAGTTCTTAGCCATCTTCAAGAATCGGCTAAAACACATCTCTTCCATCTTTATTTGACCCTCTAACTCTAGCACTCTCTATTCTAATTCTATTCTTTAAAAAAAAAAAACTTGCCCCTTTTAGACTTGCACTCTATTCATTTAATAACTGCTTGTTTTCTTTAAAAAAAAAAAACAACTAGCTTCTCTATTCTTTTTGTATTCTATATATTTGTTTTCTTTTGATTTATTATACAATTAACAAAAAGCAAAAAATGCCTCTAACACTAGCTTGCTTTATTCCAGGGGTGCCCACACTTTTTTTGTGTGGGGATCTACTTTTCAAATGAGAAACTCACCGAGATCTACCAAGTTGAAAATAAATAAATAAAATACGCGTAAAATAAATATATAAAAAGCTTGTTGGGATGTATGTTTATATTGCATTAATTTAATTTAATTTAATTTTAAAATAAAAAATAATAATGTTCATTTCTTAGTAGGCCTACCCGTAAGTAGCCTTTAGTGTTATTTCTTTTCAATTCCATGTAATTATTTTTAAACAAAACAAATTCAAGACAGATTGAAACATACTGTTTTTTTTGTCACTGCAGACATTCTATACAACTTAAAAGTACGTAAAGCTCAATTATACAATAATTTTAACAAATAAGCTCAAGTCAACCTGCCATACCAAACAAGACCACAGGGAGACGCCAAAGGACTGCATATAAACTACTATGGATCCATTCAGGATCACTAAACACACCAAAAAATACAACTGAAAAATAAAAACATTCTGAATATTTAGAACCTCAGCGATCTGAAGGTGGCTCGACGTCATCAGTGAATAGTTCTGTTAGAAAACATTCTGTGTTTGGAGTGTCTGATGCCCATATGTAGGCTACATAAACACCACTGATCCTCACAAACTTCTCCAAAACGAGCATCCGTTATAATAAAACACTCGCTATATACAACTACGTGAATATTCTGAACTGTGTTCAAGCAGAAATGTTATAGTGATCAGTGCGCTACTAGCACACAAACACGGTTCGTTTGCGCATCAATAATAACGGACACATGCGCGCCTAATGTTCGACTCTTGTATCTGTCACTAATCGTCTTTACCTTGATTACAGTCATCATCCATCAAAACTTTACTAACGTGACCCTGGCTTGATTAATCCAGCCGGGAGCTGTAGTTTGCGTATCATATGCTCATACAGCAGTAACTTAGGCTGTTTCACACAGCGCGATGAGAAACAGCTAGAGCTGCTCCGAAACACAGAATATCACAGAATACGTAGAGAAGTGGTGCTGTTATTTATTTATATATATATTTTTTTTTTTTTAATGATTTAACATATTAATCATAAAATAGTTAATTTATTATAGGGCTGGGTGATATAGCTAAAAAATGTATCAACGATATAATTTTTCATATCGTTCTGTATCGATAATTATTGACATTTTTTATAAACTTTTTTAAAACAAAGCACAATAGAATTTTTTTTTTTTTAATTTAACCACTGTGTTTTTAATTTACCCAATTTATTGAGATAAACAATTTTTTTTAACAGTCAAACACAAAATAAAATGTAAACAAATATCTTCTTTCTTATGTGTTATATGCAGATTAAATAAGTCTTATGGAAACTTTTGGCTTGTCGAAGCCACAGGAGGGCACAATGAGCAAAACAATGCAGCGTATTAAATTGTCAATGCAATGAAATAACTGTCCATAATATAACATCTAAATTAACATATATAAATCAAATATAATTTCGTAAATTGCATAAACAATTATGAATAAAAGAGCATCATGTCGAGCCGAATCGCCGATCACACAGATTGCATTTGAAAACATATGAGATGCAGTGAAAAGGAATAAACCTCCACAAATTCGCGACGTGTTTTCTAAACGTTTAAACTGTTTTAATTTTGAATGGCTTTCTGTATATCTCTTGTGTGAGACGCGAGTGCAGCAGTCTTATTTGTCCGTCTAAAAAATGCGCTGAACATGCATTCTGTGTGAATGGCTTGGTTTCGGTTTTAACCTAATCAAGATCTTCTAAGCATTGAGCTTCTATATTTCTCTAATATTTTGAATGAATAACGCAGCGGCGCGTCTCGTGGGCTAGACTAACAAAACATTAAAATGCATCATCATCACCGCATCTCGCGCACCACTGATGATGCTCCCTGACACACATCTAACATTCGACTGTACCATTTTTGCATTCAAATGTAGTTTTTTTTTATCAATTTATTTATTAATTAATCAAAATACATTTTTTTGATTAATATAATTTTTTAAATTCACAATCTCCTCATCACAGGCTGGCACAACACTCATGTTCGTGTTTGTGTGTGCTGTCTGCGTCACTCATAGCACGTGCCTATATCGTGCGCTATATTGAACATTTTTTTATATTGTTATCGATGAAGGAGTACCGTCGATAAATATGGATACCGTTTTATCGCCCAGGCCTAATTTATTATATTTTAGCTTTAGGTTATCTCACACCCCCCGGTTGAGAAAGCATAGGCTATTTAAATGATGTGCGATCTACCAGCATTGCCTTTGCGATCGACTGGTAGATCGCGATCGTCCTATTGGGCACCCCTGCTCTATTCTTTTTCTATTCTATCGGTTTTCTTTTTACTTATTATATAATAAAAATAAAACCTTGCTACGTGTATTGCGTTAGGCTAACTGAGACTTGTCATAGCACTTGCGGCGTATCATAGCTCTTTTGTTGATTTTGATTGCTTTCATTATCCTCATCTGTAAGTCGCTTTGGACAAAAGCGTCTGCTAAATGTCTAAATGTAAATGTAGACTTTTACATTTTCTGAAGAACGTGAGTGAAGTTAAGGTGGTCTTACTCATTTTTCACTGGGATCTACACGAACTGAAGTTCACAGGTCACTAACCTTCTCTCCTGTCAGTGTGACCATGTCCAGCGGCCCGTACATGAAGCGACCCGTGACCACCTGATTGCCGTCCTCCGTAAACACAGCATCGTTCACACGGTGGTTTGCCGTAACGTTCTTCAACACAAACACATCTTTACATCAGCAACATTCCCTTAATGGATTTAACAGTAATTTGGGATTTCTGAGATGTTGAGGTGCCCATCTCACCCTGATCTTCACGTGAGTCCTCTTCCTTATCCACTTCTCCCGCGGTTTGGACGGAGTGAATTCTGACACCTCCTTTCCATCGAGTTCCAAAATACTGGAGTTCTCATGCCTCATTACCTGAGAGCCGGAAAAATAATAAATAAAATTACATTTGCCCAATTTCATTAGAAATTGTGTTTATAGGATGATTGTTTTAATGGTAAATAAAATGCTACTTTATGCAATAAAAACAATTTATGCACTAAGAATTAACAAGTAACGCCCCCAATCTGTACGTTCCCCAATTTAGTTATTTTCCTTCCTAGATGAAGTATCACTAAAACACAATCTTTTTGTAATTAATTTAATTTTTTTTGCAATTAGATTTTTTATATTGTTTGGCAAGCCCTTATTTTACTACATAAAATGTTAGCAAAAAACGGTAAAGTTTAGTATAATAAAGATAATTATATAATAGACTTTTAAACATTAAAATAACTACAAGATATCTACAAATAAAAAAATACAATTATTATCAAATAAATAAAAACATGATTATGAAAATGTTTTTATTTTATTTGAACATTTAAATAAAAATAAAAATAAAAAAATAACACTAATACAATTACATAATACAAAAATAATGAATAAAAAATATTTTAATAAAAGCCATGAAAAACATTATCAATTATATTATATATGTCCAATTTAATTAAAAGGAATTGCTATTCTAAGACAATTGCACTTATTTTATTATTTTAAAATGTTGCCAAAAACAGGAAAGTTTAATTTAATAAAGATAAGACAATTTTATTATGGTCTTTTAAATATATTTAAATAACTAAATAAAAAAGTATAAGTACAAAAAATGGCATAATAAAAAAATGAAAAATATATATTTTTTAAAAATTAGGGGAAAAAAAAAAAATTACATTGTATTTGCCAAATTTTATTAAAAGGAATGGTTTTTCTAGGATTATTGCCTTTTTGTTACTGAAAATAGTAAAGTTTAATATAATAAAGATAACCATTTTATAGTAACCCTTTTAAACATATTTAAATAACAAAATATAAAATTTATAAAAATACAATAAAATAATAAATTAAAAAACTTAAATTAAATGTATTTTAATAAAATCCAGAAAAAAAATAATTATATTATATTTGCCTAATTTCATTACAGTCAACTATGGACAATTATCCTAGAAGAGCTGCTCTTTTTTTTAATGCAGTACTACATGCTGTACCTGCATAGCGAATGTTTCCAGATGCAAATAACTCCTAAAGATTCTTTAAGCAGAATTAATATTTTATAATCTTAAATCATATGGTAATCTTCACCTGTCGGAGCAGGAAAGACACAGCGTCCGTTGATTCCCAGTAGGAGGCGTGAAACAGGTGAGGTAGAGCCACGGTGGGGAACGCAGTCAGAGCATCAGGACAATACAGAGCGAAATCAATGCGCTTCGTGCCCCACCAGCGAGCAGCGACTGCAGGAGAGACGACACGGGACGTTCAGTCATGTCTGTCCAAACCATTACCGCTACAACAGCAGCTTCAAATACCATTACAGATTTCGGTTTCATCTGTACATAATTCATGAACGTTTCAGCCACTGGTTCTAGGACAGGACGAGGACATGTGATGCAGGATTGCTTCAGGGGCTCAAAAGGAATTAAAGAAATGGAAAGTTGTTGTTTTGTAATGTGCACTGGGCTGTGCGAGGCTGTAGTGCACATCTCTTGTCTGCTTCCTCCCATGACCCATTGCAAAGACACTCAAGAACACAACCCTGTTTTTGGTTTGTAATTCTTTCAATTGGGGTTGAATGTTCTTGAATGGCCTCTAGTTCTCTACAACTAGGATTGGGAATCAAAAACAGTTATTTTTTAAAACTGGTTCTATTTTGACTGGGAAGACAGGGGGTTGTTAAAAAATACAATCAACAGACAATATATCCTTGTATTGCGTCGTCCTCACTGGTTGCACGCAACAACAAACCTACAGTGTGAACCGTGTAGTCCGATTCACAAACGACTTTTATGAAGTGGTTTTAAATAAAGTGGTTATGAAGTGATTTTTAATAAATCAGTTAAAAAAAGGCTCCCTTACCCCCAAGTAGAGGTCTACACGGGTCCAAAAATTCGTACCTGAACCCAAAGAGACCCGTAAATGTGCTACACTGAACCGACCCGGACCCGTCTATTATTTTGAAAGTTGGACCCAGGCCCGTGCAGAACCGAGAAATGTCAAAAATGTACAACCCGGAACCGACGCGGACCGTCAATTATTTTTTCTTTTTTCTCCACCTTATTTCAAATTACCGACTTCTCATCCTAATTTTACAAGTTGAAAGTTACAAAACAACACACGCACAGCGCTGACTGACTCTGATAACGGCCGGGTGTTCTCCGAGTCCGATCGACTCGGGTATTACACACAATGTTAAACAGACCCGGGACCCGAAGTAATAGATTGGGACCCGACCCGGACCCGGCTGACCATTTAAAATATAGCCCCAAACCCGTACGGATCCCGGGTCGGGTCCCGGGTCCTCGGGTCTCGGGTCCTCCGTGTAGACCTCTACCTCCAAGTGTTGTCAAAAACAAATTCTTGAAATATATGTAATAAAAAAAATAGGTAAGAATAATTAATAATAAAAATTTTGCAATAAAAACCATTTTTGCACTACAGCAAAATTAACAATTCATGTCCCTGATCTATATGCAAATTTGATAATTATTTGCATAATAATATGCATATAACATTTTTGTAATTCCTTTTTTAAACTAATAATAAAAAAAATAATAATAATTTGGTTAGACTAATTTTAAATAAATAATAATAAAACATTTTATACATTACCAAGAAATTAACAATTCATGTCCTTGATCTGTATGCAAAATTCATAATTCATAATCTATTATTTAATATTCACCGAAATAATATAATATTAAATTATATTATATTATTTGGGTGAATATTAAATTATTTGCATAATAATATGAATTGTGATGTTATTTAAAAAAAATATTATTAATTTATTATTATTTCTTTAAAATTATTATTCATGTGTGTTAAAAATTTTTATAATTTTTTTTATTTTGTAATTATTACATTAAAATATGTTATCAATAACAGTACATTTTAATGTAATAAAGATAACCATTTTGTAATAATCTTTAAACATTTTAAATTTAAGATAAAAATTAATTTTAATTTCAAAATAAGTAATTTTGCTTAATATATAGTTATGATCACTTATTGGGTGGGGCTGCTTCGTCAAAATTATTTTAACAAAATCATTAAGTGGAATCAGAATCACTAAACTCCTAATGATTCCCATCCTTATGTATAAGCGACCGCTAACAGAAGACATACACGCCATGAGCATGATGCACAGCCAGATAATGGGAGCAAGACGAGTCAACATCCTTCAAAGCATCTTCAGAGGGTTTTCATCATTCAGAGCAAACCCAGAGCGGCTTAGGGCTCAGGAGATGAAGAACCAGAGCACCAAAAGCTTTAAAAGGAAGGGGGCATGAATTCGAAAAACAAGGGCATCAGCGCTGGGGAGGTCAGCAAGAAAACAGGCTGAAGATTTGGAGGGCTAAAACAGGAAGTAGGAGGGATTGCAGGGAATGCAGTAATGGTAGAAACTAACGCAGGCAAACAGGAGAGCGGGTGCATCTGGAGGGTCCAGGAGACCCTCCGACCGGATGTCTACCCACACTCCAAGTACCTTGCTCGATGTCCAGCGGGACACATGGAGATGGCGGTTCTGAGGCGAGCGAGGGTGAGGGCTCAAAGCCTAGAGAGACGCTCTGCTCTGAATCATCCAAACAGCTGGAATCCTGCCTTTCTACCTGCTGCTTATTTTGCGCTTTGCTGGATTTGGGGGAGGGGCTTCGGGAGCTGCTTTTATTATAGGGAAGGGCCAATTGGGACAAAAGACTGAGCTTTTTGGAGAGACTAAGTTGGCATGCTTGCGCTACTAGAGAAAAAAACAACATCAAATCAACAGCAGTCAAAAGATGAATATGACATGTGTGATAGTTCCTAGCTATATCTGCAGCATTAAAAAACCTGTTTTTGCTGTTTAATATTTCTGTGGAAACCGTGATGCATTACCGTTAAAGAAAAATAATAATAATACTTTTATTTAGCAAAGACTCATTAAACTGATCAAATGAGACAAAGACTTTTATGATGTTTCCAAAGATTTCTACTCCAAATAAATGCCGTTCTTGAACTTTAAAAAATCCTGAAAAAAATGTTTAATGGTTTCTACGAAAAGTATTACGCAGCAAAACACTGATAATAACACAGTAATATTTTTTTATTAAAGAAAAATAAATTTCAAACAAAAAAAATGGAATAAAAACTATTTCATAATCTATATATAATCATAATCTACTATATATACTGTATGTATGTGTGTGTAATTATTCACAGGAATAAATGACACATTAAAATATATTTAAAAAATAGAAAACAGTTACTTTAAACAGTAATAATATTTTACTGTATTTTTGATCAAATAAATGTAGCCTTGGAGAGCATAAAACTTTTATTTCAAAAACATTTTAAAAATTAAAGATCCCGAACTTTTAAACCATAGTGAGTATATTAATGTATTCATTTATTCCATATTTAATGTAAATGGAAAAAAAAGTGTTTTGTGGTAAAAACACCAATTACTCAATTACTCCACTGCTGCAATATAATATAGTTGAATCTACTATATATACTGTATGTATGTGTGTGTAATTACAGATTATATATATATATAACATCTGCAGAAATAATATTGTTATTTGTATAATATTTGTATGTTTTTGATGCTTAATATTTTTTCAACATTAATAATAATAATAGCATTGTAATCATTAAAAAAAATAACAAATTAAATAGATTAAATTAATTAAATCAAATGTAATTAAAGACAATAATAATAATAATAATAAGTATCACTAATTTTAAATAAAATATACTGTAAAATCTATTTATGCACTACTGCAAATTAACAAAATTAAAATTCATGTTCAATGGCTGCTGAAAATTCATCTTTGCCATCTTTGCACAGGAATAAATGACACATTAAAATATATTTAAAAAATAGAAAACAGTTACTTTAAACAGTAATAATATTTTACTGTATTTTTGATCAAATAAATGTAGCCTTGGAGAGCATAAAACTTTTATTTCAAAAACATTTTAAAAATTAAAGATCCCGAACTTTTAAACCATAGTGAGTATATTAATGTATTCATTTATTCCATATTTAATGTAAATGGAAAAAAAAGTGTTTTGTGGTAAAAACACCAATTACTCAATTACTCCACTGCTGCAATATAATATAGTTGATATGTAGATTATTGTATTCTGCTAACCGACTGTGTGTGTGTGCGTTAACTTACTGTTGGCGATGTTGGAGGCGGTGTAACTGTCCACTAACCCCGACACCTGGCTGGCGATGCTGGTCTCGCTGACCCTGCGTGCCCCGCGGAAGGCTGGAACAGATGCCGGAGACGAAGGATTGGAGTGATCCGCAAACATGATGCTGTGAGACTGCATCGCATCCGCTGTGAGGACCAAAACCAGCAATTACTCACACAGACTGGGAACTGACAGGGAAATTAGGGCCCAGAAATCTGACAATTCAGTACGGACTAAATCTCCGTTCCAAAACCTAGCGAGCTGCCTATCTAGACAGCAGTCTATCTAATAGGCATTACAGGTGCGCTTACAGGGCAGCAGAGATCTCACTAGATTTTGGAACGGAGCTAAAATGATGCTTCATTATTCATTTGTAAAAGGGCCATTTGATTCAAAATGATGAAAGGAAGTGAAAAGAAGATGCAAACACAAAACCAAAGAGAGATAAAAGTAGTAAATATTGCCCCCGAGTCCATTCTGACAAATTCTGAAGGAATTTAAGAGAGCATTTACAGCTGATTTTATTACGAGGCCTCATGGGGCATTATTTACCAAATACACATGCAACCCATCATCAGAATCAGGATTTGTCATTAGTCAAGATGCTTGAATTTAGATTTGTCTTATTATTCTTGTTGTATTGTTATTTTAAAGGTGAAGTGTGTCATTAAAAAAAAAAATTCTGGTTTCCAAACAGGTTTCCTAAACACTGCCCATAGGTTGGACCGTTATATTTTTCACCAAATTCAAAAGAAAGAAATACTTAGAAATTTAAGGACCATTATTTTCATAAAATTAAGCACATTTCCAAAAGCATTCCCCATAACAAATTAAAGGGGTCATATGATGCGATTTCAAGTTTTCCTTTCTCTTTGGAGTGTTACAAGCTCTTGGTGCATAAAGAAGATCTGTAAAGTTGCAAACACTAAAGTCTCAAAACCAAAGAGATATTCTTTATAAAAGTTAAGAGTCAACCACGCCTACCTAAAACGGCTCATTCTAACACGCCCCCACATATCTACCTCACTATGTGGAAATATTACCATAACGCCGTCCAAATGTTCACGCAAAGAAACACATACACCACTCAAACCTTCCGTAAAATAATCTTTCATAAAGTTCGGAAAAGTTGAAGCGAATTACAAGGACATTCGCGGGCTTCACTGCACCGGATGCGCTGTGAGAGACGTGCGCTTCGTTTGATGTTACACTTGAAGTGTGCGGTATTGCCCGTCTGTATTTTCCTTACAAATGCTCTACGAAGTCATCATTTATGTGGTTTGGAATGCAGTGGACAAACACAGCCAGTTATGTCTTAAGGGATTAAACGGACAGGACAAACCACATTACTTCTTGTATTTCAAAAGAGATCCGTGCGTGAATGCAGCTTAATAGATCTCCTGCTGTCTATGATGTCATAGTAAAAGACAACAGTAAAGATGAAGAAAAATCACTCGCAGTTCTTGAATGGAAAACGTTCAGATAATCATAAATACTGAAAGCACTCTGTTTGTTGTTTCTATGTTTCTATGCTCCTCTTTTATTATTTGCTACTTGCTTGTATGTTTTGAAGTTATATTAGTTTAAAATTCTTAACATACAACTGTTTTAATTATTTTTTTCAATTTGTAATTATTTAAAAAAGTACTTAATTACTTATGTAAGAATATGTAAATGTAAGGATTTTAAGATTCTCAAGTGGGTAAACTAATTAATTAATAAGGGGGAAAAAAAGTAGATCAAGAATCGTTCTGGAATCGGATCGTGACTCCCAAAATTGGAATCTGAGTTGACTAAAGACTCCCACCCCTAATAAATATAACATATTATGAAATAATATATACTAAAATAATTAATGAATGACATAAATTAAATTATATAATTATATAAAATAATTACATTCTAATAGAATTTATATTCTATTAATTCTAATAATTAAATAATTTAAAAAAAAATTTTTTTTTAATTAAGCATACTTCTTTCCAATTCACATTGCTCAAAAGTAAACAGTAAGCAAATAAATAAAATAAATGAATTAATTAAATATTTACCAAATGAATGATTGAAAAAACATTATATATTTTCATAAATAATATAAAAATAAATACAATATTAATTAAAATAATTGATGCATGATATAAATCTTATAATTAAAATATAATATACTGTAAATAAAATACATAAATTGTAATTACTGAATGTATGTAATTCATTTGACACATATTTCTTTCCATTTCACATTACTCAAAAGTAAACAGTAAGTAAATAAATAAATAAATAACTATTCATTAAGTAAATATTTAAAGGGGAGGTTGACTGGTTTTTTTCTAGGCTTGATTGTGTTTATGGGGTGCAGTCTAACATGTTAAAGTGCCCCTATTATGCCATTTTTAAGGTTGCTAATATTGTCTGTCAAAACAGGTTTACATGCATGCAAGGTCAAAAAACACGTTAGTTTTCTCAAAAAATAGATTCATTTTACCTAATTTCTAAATGATTTGTAAACGACTCGTGCGAAGCAGTTCAAAGAATCAGTCTCTCTAAACCCCTCCTTTCCGTGAGCCCTCACTGCTGTGATTGGTCAGATGGCGCAGTCCTTTGTGATTGGTCCAGAGCCGTAGAGAGATTGGCTCTGGATTGGTCTACCGCGTACAGCACGTGTCGGAAACGAAACATTGCCATGACGGAATGACAGCCCTGGAGACTTGTCAATACATAGAAAAGATGGTATCGATTGTACCTTACCAATTCGAGCCGGAGTCTGATGATGAAACGGTTGAACTGGCTGATCGACAAGAGACTGATTCGCAAGCACGACTGGAGTGTCGTAAGTGTCAAGTGTTAACAAGTTTGTGGTAACTATAAGATGTGATAAAACAAATTTACTCTCACAGCGTAGGATACAGCGTCTTCTTGACATGATGTTACCCCTACGGAAATTTTACTGTTTGTGGGCGGGCAACTTGGCAACGTAGAACGTGGGCAGACATTATGCAAATGTGTTACTTCGTGACGTAGAGCCGTAACAGAATAAGATTCGAATTCCTGACGACTCGTTTAGG